GGAGGGAAGGCAAAGCCAGTGGGGGAGACAACCCCGACTGCTCCAGAGCCCCAGGATGGAGGGAAGGCAGCGCCAGCAAAGGAGGCAGCTTCAGCTGCGCAGCATGGTGGAGGGGAGGCAGCATCTGTGGAGAAGAAGGCGCCAGCTGCCACCAACACCCAGGATGGAGGGAAGAACGAGCCTGGGAAGGAGAAAACTCTGGCTGCAGGAGAGCCCAAAGAAGGGAAGGCAGTCCCCGTGGAGGGGAAAGCTCCAGCCGCTGCCAAGGCTCAGGATGGAGGGAAGGACAAGCCCATGGAGGAGAAGGGTCCAGCTGTGGGAAAGCCTAAAGGAGGGCAGGCAGAGCCCCCAGAGGGGATGAGTCTGGCTGTAGCAGAGGCTCAGGGTGGAGGGAAGGACAAGCCCAGGAAGGAACAAGCCCCTAGTGGGTTAGAGGCTGAGTGTGGTGGGAAAGCAGAGCCCACAGAGGAGAAGGCTCCGGCTGCAGCGGAGGCTGAAGGAGGGAAGGCAAAGCCCGTGGAGAAGGCAGCCTTGGCTGCAGTACAGGCTCCGGATGGAGGCAAAGAAGAGCCTGCAAAGGAGAAAACTATAGCTCCTGCAAAGGAGAAGGTCCCAGCTGCTGCAAAGGCTCCAGATGGAGGGAAGAAAGCTGCAAAGACAGAGAAAACCTCAGCTGATAAAAAGCCTGCAAAGGAGAAGGCTCCAGCTACTGTAAAGGCTCAGGATAAAGAGAATAAAGTGGCAAAGGCAGAAAAAGCCCCAGCTGCAAAAAAGGCTCAAGATGGAGGCAAAGATGACCCTGCAAAGGAGAAAGCCACAGCTCCTGCAAAGGAGAAGGCCCCAGCTGCTACAAAGGCTCAGGATGGAGAGAAGACAGCAGCAAAGGCAGAGAAAATCCCAGCTGCAAAGAAGCCTCAAGATGGAAGCAAAGAAGAGCCTGCAAAGGAGAAAGCCCTGGCTGCTGCAAAGGTGCAGGATGGAGGAAAGAAAGCTGCAAAGGTGGAAAAACCCACAGTTGCATCAAAGGCTGAGGATGGAGGCAAAGAAAAGCCTGCAAAGGAGAAGGTCCCAGTGGCTGCAAAGGAGAAGGCCCCAGCTGCTGTAAAGGCTCAGGATGGGGGGAAGAAAGCTGCAAAGGTGGAACCCCCCCCAGCTGCAGCAGAGGCTGGGGATGGAGGCCAGGAGCCCACAGAGGCAGCGGCCACGGCTGCCGTCAAGGCTAAGGGTGAAGGGGAGAAAGCGGCAAAGGTGGAGGAGATGGACAAGCAGCAGCAGCCGAGAAACCCTGGGCCCCCGCGCCCAGCTCTGCTGCAGAGCCTGAGCTGCCCGGCCACCTGCCAAAGGTACCCGCATCCCCCTGGGATGGGTCCCCTCCCCTCGCTGCTCCCTGGGGAGCCCCAAGTCGCTCTGGGCAGAGGTGGGCACTGGGCTCAGGGGGCTGCTAGCTGGGTTCTGCTCACCACCTGCTCCTGCTTCCAGGGAGGAGCAGCCCTGGGTAGAGGCAGCAGTGATGGAGATGATACCAGAGGAGACCACAGCAGCGGAGCTCAAAGAGGGTTTGACAGAGCCTGGCCCTGCCCTGCCAGCCCTGGGGGACCGGCAGCCCCTGGAGCCCCCCGGCCCTGCGGGGAGCCCTGGCACCCCACAGGAGAGGACATTGCCCAGTGCTGTGGGGCAGCACGCAGAGTCCCCTGGCTCTGGGGAGCAACTGTCCTTGACAGAGGCAGAACCACCCCCTAGCCCCTACCTCACCCCTGATTTTGGGAAGGAAGACCCTTTTGAGATACTGGGTAAGGC